TCACCCAGTTCCCCAATGGTAACATCCTGCAAAATTATAGTACAATATCACAACCAAGATACTAACATCGATACACTCAAACACAGGATATTTCCATAGCTACAAGGTTCCCTTGTGTTGCCTTTAATAGCCACACCCTCTTCCTTCCCAGGAACACCTTCTTCTCTAACACCCAACAGCCACAAATCCATTCTCTAATCTATAATTTTTTCATTTCAAAAATGTTAGATTAAATGGCATCATATACTATGCAACCTTTTGAGATTGGCTTTTGTACTGAGAATAATCCTCTGCCCATTCATTCAGGTTGTTCAGCATATCAGTAGTTGGTCCCTTTGTATTACTGAGTAGCATCCTCTAGTAAGGATATACCACTTTGTTTAATCTCCATGCTCTGAAGGACATCAGAGTTGTTTCCATTTGGGCTATTATGGGTACAGCTTCTAGAAACACTGATGTAAAGCCCTTATCTTTTAAACATACATACTTAAAGTTTTATGGATGAGATAGTATATCTAGGATTTGCTTTTAAAAATTCCAGATTGGGTGAGATATTGAAAAAAATAAGATTGACCATTAGTTTGTAAAATATATTATACCATTACCTCTACTTTTGCATATGCTTATAATTTTCCATAATATAAAGTTTACAAACAAGAAAATAGCACAAAACAATTACTTATCTGACCACTTACACACCCACATACATAACCATACAATTTTCAATTAAAATTGGAGGTATGCTTTCTTATCTTAAGTCTGTGCCAAGATCGCAAGAGTTTTTTACCTAAAACAGAGAGCCCACATCTAAGAACGATCATTATTGTAACATTTCATTGCATCATTTTGGGCAGATCCAACCTAGGCATCTGTTAACTTACTTTCAGAAGTTCTTTATTAGGTTACGGGGTTGAGATAATAGGTAATTCCTAATGGTGGACAAAAGCAGGTAAGTAATCACCATAATCAAATGTATGAGATTCATTAGTGGCTTGTCGTCAAAAGAGAGCATTCATGTCTGACATGAACAGATCCTTATCATCAAGACAAATGCTGAGAGAACAGAAGTGTCATTACTAAAGATGAAGAGCAACAAACTATGTGAGCACAATCAAGCCTTACAAAGAAGTGAAATGCATTTTACATTATGCGAGGGCTGCTTTTGTCTTTAAGCCACTCTGGAGGACAGGATATCATTATCATGTTCAGTCTGCAAGCTAATAGTTCTTTAGTATAGTTCTGCAAACCGCCATCTACTATTCGGTGCCACCAATATTCCGTCAGCTCATTCTCCCCTAGTGCTGCATCACACCACCCCATTACCACACTGAGGACACCCTACTTCTTCTCATGTGGGGCTTTACAAAAATGAAGGCACACTCTCTCAAAGATCTCAAGCAAAGAAGAGCATGTAAATATAAACCCATTAATGAATCTAGGATTAAAAGCCAAGACATTCAAAGGAAATACTCATGATGACTTTTACATGCCAGTGATGCAAAGGCAACTAGAGGGTTTCCCTGGCTAGGTCTTTAAAGACTGCGTATGCACTGTGATGAGCAATTCGAAAGCTTCAACAAAGTATGTTGTCAAAAATGGGACAGATTGGGGCACCTGAGTGGCTCAGTCGGTTAAGCACCCAACTTCAGCTCAGGTCATGACCTCACAGTTCGTGGGTTCAAGCCCCGCATCTCTGAGCTGTCAGCACAGAGCCTGCAGGGTGCTTCGGATTCTGTGTCCCCCTCTCTCTCTCTGACCCTCTCTGATCACACTGTCTCTCTCTGTCTCTCAAAAATGAATAAATGTTAAAAAAACTTTTTAAATTGTTTCTTTAAAAAAAGTGGGATAGATGTCCACAGATCAATCCCCATAAGATAAGTACCAAAGGAACATCTAAATGGTACAGTTGTGTTGTAGTTGTATTGTAGTCCCTCCCATTAAGTGAGCCCCACGCTTGGGTGTTAAAAATAGTAACACTTAGGGGCGCCTGGGTGGCTTAGTCGGTTAAGCATCCGACTTTCGCTTGGGTCATGATCTCGAGGTTCATGGGTTCGAGCCCCGCGTCGGGCTCTGTGCTGAATGCCAGCTCAGAGCCTGGAGCCTATTTCAGTCTGTGACTCCCTCTCTCTCTGACCCTCCCCTGCTCACGCTGTCTCTCTCTCTCTCCTAGAAATAAATAAAAAACATTAAAAAAATTTTTTTTAAAAAATAGTAACACTTATTGTGATTTGATCATTACTACTATACCATGACAGATAGGAAGAAGATGGTCCATTAATAGGCTGTCTATATGTCACTTAAGTGTCTAAAAATTAAAAGATATTAGTCAGTATCTCCAAAAACAATGTACAGATTAGTTCCTTTGGTTGGTTTGGCAAGTTAGGAGTTCTATCAATAAAAAGAAGTCTATTAGCAACTTCATATTAGGAAACTAAGAAAATATAGTTGAGTCCAAAGTCTTGTTCACAGGTCACAAGTCAGAACAAAGACACATAGAATTAAAACCCAAAATGACACAGATCACTGGGTTTTGTGCTATAGGCTTGCACTGAGATTAATAACAGGGCTGCTAGTGGCAGAAAAAGAAAAGGGTAAGAATTGGACTCAGGAACAAAATGCAAAATATAAATTAAAAGGAGCAGAGAAAAAAGGCACTAAAGTAAAATACATATGAGTTCCAGGATGTCTTTGCCATCTACCTTTTGCCTCTATGTTTTGCCATCTTCCTTGACTCTTACAACCAACCATGTTCTGAGACCTGTGGATTCTGACATAACAGTATACATTTTGAGAGGCACCTGGGTGGCTCAGTTGGTTAATCGTCTGAGTTCAGCTCAGGTCATGATCTCACAGTTTGTGGGTTTGAGCCTCGTGTCGGGCTCTGTGCTGACAGCTCAGAGCCTGGAGCCTGCTTAAGATTCTGTGTCTCCCTCTCTTTCTGCCCCTCCCCTGCTCAAGCTTTGTCTCTCTGTCTCAAAAATACATAAACATTTAAAACCAACCAACCAACCAACCAACAAAATCCCCCCCAAAAATTATACATTTTGAGACAGTCTGTGGTCACCTAGCAGGACAATGGAAGTTGAAACTTGTAGCACTCAATACTTAAACGTTAATCTAAAATGCTTTGCATAGGGGCACCTGGGTGGCTCAGTCGGTTATGCGTCTGACTCTTGGCTTTGGCTCAGGTCATGATCTTGTGGTTCGTGAGATCAAGCCCCACATCTGGCTCCATGCTGGCAGTGTGGAGTCTGCTTAGGATTCTCTCTCTCTCTCTCTCTCTCTCTCTTTCTCTCTGAGGATTCTCTCTCTTCTCTCTCTCCCTGCCCCTTCCCCACTTGTGTGCACATTCGCTCTCAAGATAAACTTAAAAAAATAATAAAATGCTTTGCATAAAATAAAACTCTCTTGCAAAAAATCTTTATGATGGATTTGCTTATATATCTCTTTATCCTACTTCATAGCAACTACCCATGCCTGGTCTATAGATCTGGGATTTCAGAGGGGGTCATTTTTGTGAGCTGAAATGGTTTCAAGAAAGAAACACAAGAGAACAAAATGGAAATATAAAGATAGAACAAAGGCAATAGGGAAGAAATTAAGTCTGGAAAGAATTCTAAGAACAAACTGCACAGAATAGCTTCTAAACAAATAGCCTTGTTCAGCAGGAGCTGAGACTTGTAGAGCAGAGCAGGAGCTGAGACTTGTAGAGCAGAGTAGGAGTAGATAATCAGCTCGAAAGGGCAGGTTGGGAGCCAGGCAGTGGCAGCCATAGAGCCCCAGTCAGGCATTTAGGCCACACGCCCTAGGCTTTTGAAGCTACAGCAGGTTTGCACATAGGCAAGTTAAATGACCATGGTTTGGAGGATGCGACTAATGGTAGAAGGGAGTGAAGCAGCGGTCCCAAGAGGCAAGGGCTTACTAATTGTTCCAGGGGAGACCACAGAAATTGATCTATGTATGAGGGCAAGGGTGGGAAGGTAAAGGAAAAGATCAACTTGAGGAGCTGTGTGAAACATGAATGCACATGTACTTAAACCTAGCTTGTACCCAATTAAAACCTAGAAAATGGTCCTTTGGAGTCACTGTCACAGAACTACTTATAAGATGCTGAGGATTCTTATGCTGATTGGGAAGTAAACTGTCATTATTATGATCAAATACATAAGAGAGCATAAAAATTCCAATGGCTGATAAAGTCATTTTTAAAGGAAGCTTTGATTAAGCTTAACAGAGGCCAGGAAAAAATAAGATTTTTGATATAAGTAAAAATTATTTTTAAGGAGACCATGATTGGTTGCAAGGTGATGAGTATTTTTAAATTTCTAAAATAATTAACTGCTGATTTTAGCAAGGCAGTAATAATGACTTATATGATTGACAGATCTATTTTTCTCTACTTTTGCAAATCTACTTTTTATATCTACTTTTGCAGATGTATTTTCTCTACTTTTTTTAGATTGCCATTGCAAACCTATTATTAATCAAAAGTTAATTTTCTTGGCAAACGTACCTATGAGTAAAACTCTGAAACACTGTAGGTGACACAAACTAAATCATGCACTTCTTAGTGAATATCCCAACTTAGCTCCTATTCTCATTTCCTTCATACATTTTTATTGACTGTTCACTATATGATAAGTACTATATCAGTGCCGGGTGTACCATAAAGAAAAAAACAGTGTCTGCCCACACGGGAGCACACGGTATAATGACGAAGAAAGACATTAAAATGTTTTCAAAAAACTGTCCAAATATATAATTTAAAATTGTGACAAGCCCTATAAAGGAAAATTACAGGGTGCTTCGGGAGCTTATAACAGGAAGGCTAAACCGACTCTGGGTCTGAGAAGGTGTTTTAAAGGAAACTGTTTCTGAACTGAAATCTGTTAAGGCTGAAGTGAAATGAAATAGGCAAAAAGAGTAGGGGAGAGAATACTAGAAGAAAAGATGAGCAGAGGGAAAGAATGACATATAATAAAATAAAAATATTCTCTAACCTGTTGGGTAATAGTGTCCCATGGCTCCTGCAGCAGCCGTGTCTTATAGCACTCGTGGATTCCTTCCCATATGTCCTTCAGAGCTAAAGGTCTTCCATCTGCAAAAGCATGGTAAAGACAGTCAGTAATCCATTTGACACAATGGTGCTTGGTGTCTATCTAAAACTACTAGAAGAGGGGGCGCCTGGGTGGCTTAGTCAGTTAAGCGTCTGACTTTCGCTTAGGTCATGATCTCGCGGTTCGTGGGTTTGAGCCCCGCGTCGGGCTCTGTGCTGACTGCCAGCTCAGAGCCTGGAGCCTGTTTCAGCCTGTGACTCCCTCTCTCTCTGACCCTCCCCTGCTCACGCTGTCTCTCTCTTTCTCTCTCCTAGAAATAAATAAAAATATTAAAAAAAAACTACTAGAAGAATATTATAATTAAAAAAAAATCTTTGCTAGTACACATATTACTTATATATCAAAAGAGTGCTATGGGAATTACTATTTTCTTCCTGAGGGAAATTTAAGCACTCAAGCTTCTCTCCTTTGTGACCTTCTAACAGTTAAATTATCTGCTCATTCATTGCCTATAGGAATTCTGCAAAATAAATGAAATCCGAATGTGTTTTAGAAATAACTAATAGATACAAGCATAGGCAAAGGACCAGGAAGACAGACTTCCATATTCACAAGGGTGCACGATGAATACCTCTGAAATTTTAATACTTCCCCTAGTTCTTAAATCAAAGACCGTACACATGCTTCATTCACTCTCTCACTGACTAAATATCTGTAATGTTCAAATCACTATGTCGAGTACCATGGGGAATAGAGAAAAGGAAAGCACATAATTTATCCTAGTAAGAAGCCTACCATTTACTAGGGAAACTATGACAAGTGTATGAATAGTATATTGATACTAAAACACTAGGTAGAAAGTGGTGGCTGCCAAGATGAAAACTGAAGTTCTCAGACAGTCCAGAGGAGGGAGCCATTAACACCTAGTGTTTGTGACAGGTCGAGAAAGGGAATAGTTAAGGGTGGAGGGACATGAGAAGGAATCAGCATGAATCAGAGATTAGGAAAATGTCTAGTGAACCAGAGTTCTCTCTTTCTTTAAAAAGCATCTACAATTCACTTATATTTCTAACAATCCAAATAATGTATTTTATGAAGATCACTATGGCATAAGATTAGTAGAAAAATAGGTATCTAAATTTGCAAAATAAAGGAGAAAGAGAAAATTACCTACAGACTTTGAACCCACACACTGCATGACAGAAGCGATCTTACTACTAGAATTTAATGCTACTGTCCCACTCAGAGCTATCAAGTCCTCAGAATTTATGAGTGTGCTCCCTTCTTTAGCAAGTGGACAATGATACTTAAAGAAAACTCATCACTATATCAAATCATTAGACCCAAAGAAGTATTTGGTCATCAGGTTACAGTAAAACTTGGGGAAATAATCTACCCAAATCATGCCCCCCAAAGCAAAAGGTATTGCATTCAGACTTACGGACTTTAAGTAGAGATGGAGAGTGTAGGAGAAGAGTGCTGGACTTTGAGTCCGGGCTGATTTTTAATTCTGCTGTTGGCACTTACTTTCTTTTCTTTCTATTTTTAAAAAATTTTTGTAATGTCTATTTATTTTTGAAGGAAAGAGAGACAGAGTGTGAGCAGGGGAGGGGCAGAGAGAGGGAGACACAGAATCCAAAACAGGCTCCAGGCTCTGAGCTGTCAGCGCAGAGCCTGACGGAGGGCTCGAACTCCCAAACCACAAGATCATGACCTGAGCTGAAGTCAGTCGCTTAACTGACTAAGCCACCCAGGTGCCCCTGGTGCTTACTCTCTATGTGACTGCAAGCTATTTGGCTTTCAATTTTACCTGTAAATGAGGATAATTATCCTTTTCGAATTCTGTTCACATGAATAAGTTTGCATCAGTGATCACACCCAGGACTGGGTCAGGCACACAGTCAGAGCTTAATACATAGTAGGTGTCTCCTCCCAGCTCCAGTAATTTTCATACTACAAAGCTAAAGGATTCACTTAAAGGCCATTATTTTTTAGAATTTGCTCATGTTTCTACACCATGCACATTATGTTTGATGATATAATACACTAATACCATAGGCAGGCCATTTCTCATGTTTGACCTGAAAAGTTGAACTTTTCCTCAACCTTTATTTTCAATAAATAGCAATAGAATATTTTGATACATTTTCAATAAGTATCTTCATCTTGGCATTTATCTGGCGGCAGGAGACCATTATCTTGTGATAAATAGTTTTATTCCATTGACATTTCCATGTCTGTAAAATGAACAAGATTTATTCATCCAATTAACATTTGAATGTCATGTTTAGCTACAAGTTAAAAACAAGCTGCCTTCAGTATCTGTATTATATTGTTTTCTGAACACATTTACAGAGCAGGGCCAAACTTTGCCCTTAAGATAAGCACTACACATCTTGAAAATATGTATGCATACACGTGTGTATGTGTGTGTGTGTGTGCATGCACTGATGTTGGAAGAGGGGAACAGGATCTTAAGTACTTCACTGCTAAAAGTAAACCAAATTATAAAATTATAAAGAGATGACATGCTTTTAAAATAATTTTCAGAAGAAATCAAGTTGTAGAAGAATAAAATGTTAGAGCTAGTATAATTACTCATTTTATCAATAAGGCAACCAAGGTCTTAGGAAACATACATCAACCAAAACTAAGAGGCCAGTTTATGACTGCACTGGACCTGGAATTGGAGACTCAGTGCCCTTCCTGCTGTTCCCTGCAGCCTCTGAGGGTGGGTCTCAGTGCCCTTCTCGCTGCAGCCTCTGAGGGCAGAGACCACGTTTTTCCTTTCCTCACTATAGTCCCACAGTGCAGTTCCAAGCCCCACCATTCACACAGTGCAACTGCTTTATAAATATTTACTGAGTAAATGATAAATGAAAGGACACCCTCTTTAATCTTATTTCCTCTAAGAGAAAGGCTTTGCAGACCTAGAGAAGAATCCTGGGTTTAATATCTGGCAATCAATAATGATTTTAATTTTATTCCTTAAAATATTCCAGCCAACAACCCAAGGATGGGGCAAGTGGTTCAGATATTACCACTGACAAAACCCCACACACTCTGCTGGAACCATTCATACAACATGCAATCATCAGTCGCTAGCAGCAACGTGGAAAGGCCCAGAACAAGCGTTATACAATATTTTCATCAGATTTGATGCCAGCATTGAGGGTATGTGACATAAGTTTTCAGACGACCAAACATATTACTAACATATGTTATCTAACATATTACAACAGAGGAATTTAAAAAAATGATCTGGTCAACTTAGAATAACAGATAATTACAGAGTTAAAAATAAGTTCAAAACAGAAAAAGAAGCATGATACTCCTACATGCATGTTTGTAACAGTGCTACCCACCTGCTAGAAAGAGAACAGTGCTTTTTAAGTGAATAAATTCTCCAGTGCATTTACAGACTGTTTAAAAACACAGGTATCAGAGCGCCTGAGTAGCTCCATAGGTTGAGCGTCCAACTCTTCATTTCAGCTCAGGTCATGATCGTGAGGGTATGCACTGTGATTGGGCACATTGATGATAAAAGCTTGGGGAAAAGAACCCACGTCATTATATGTCATTATTGTCATATGTGTATGTGGGAGGCTCGTGGGATTGATCCCTGTGCTGGGCTCCACGCTGAGTATGGAGTCTGCATGAGATTCTTTCCCCTACCCCTTCTCTCTTTACATCTGCCCTCTCCCCAACTCATGCTGTTTCTCTCTAAAATAAAAACTAATATTAATGATATGCCCTAAAAAACATGGATTAATGATGCATAAATGAGTGCTTCTACAAGCTACTCTGACAGGAGTGCCAATCTCTCCAGCTTATGCTGACCATTTACGCTGCAGATGATCTGGATAATATAGCTTTGCCTCCCACATAAACATATGACAATAATGACTTAATGAATTATGATGTGGGTTCTTTTTCCTAAGCCTTTATCATCAATGTGCCAAGTCACAGCTTATACCCTCACGAACAAAGACACAGAAGAGTTAGTTTTATGATTTTTTATGCAAAAACAAAAAATTTTGACCTAATCAGCCATGTCTCCAAACCATACCTTACACTGCTGACACATAAAATATATTCAAAATATGATGATGATTCTAATTATTTCAAAACCAAATGGAACCTTCAGAAATTCCACTGAAACCAATAAACTGAGATCATCAAATAATTTTCAAAATCATGTCATAGAAATAGAGCCTAAAATATTGCAGATATTTAAAGCAATTTGTGATTTTTTTTTTTAATTTTAGAGATTGCATGCATGAGCTGGGGAGAGAGGCAGAGTGAGAGAGAAAGAGAATCCCAAGCCGACTCCATGCTCAGTGCAGAGCCCAAAGTGGAGCTCGATCCCATGACCCTGAGATCATGACCTTAGCCGAAATCAAGAGTTGGACACTCAACTAAATGAACCACCCAGCCGCCCCTGGATTTTGTGATTTTGAATCTATCTATCTATCTATCTATCTATCTATCTATCTATCTATGGAAACCAAAGATCCAAAACTTTAATTAACATAAAATTGTGGGCATAAATAAATACTTGGTTAAGTTCATGAAACACATTATAATGTGCCTTCATGTTCACTTGAAGGTATCTTCAATCAGTAACTTTAAGTCCTCCTAAGAGGGTCTATTTTTTTCTGTCTGGCCTAAGTCAGATGAGACACGAGCATACTCAATCAACAACTCCCTAGTTTTAGACCTAAGATATTCGATAGCACTAATTTTAACATGCTTAGAAATCTCATTAATCACATTGAGGCTGAGAAACTCAGTAAAATCCCTTGCATACTTGAAAAATTGAAGTAGAAGCTGAAATAATTTCAGCAGCAACCTACAAAGTAAGCATGGTAAATTAAGGTCATTTATTTAACAAGTGTTTATTGAGTGCCTACTGTGTGCCTCTATTTCCTGGAATGACAACACACATCTGAGCTAAAGGAATATTCTGTCAGCAACCTAGAACGTCAATGACAAAAGAAAAAGAGACATTGGATGAAAAATAGAATAATTAAAAAGTACG